TTTTAGAATCCTATAAAACATGGTTTAATAGCGGTGCGGGTCGGTGCGGTTTGGAAGAAAAATAGAAACCGGCGGATTGATAAAAGTGTCACTAGAATTTGCCATTTTTCTTACCAAAAACCGGCGGTTCGATTGACAAATAATAACGAATTTGCCTTGGCGGTGCGGTTCGGTACGGTTTTGGCGGTTTCGGCGGTTTCGGCGGTATTATGCACACCCCTAGTCACCGCCTTAAACACTATATTAATCCAAGCTAAATAATGCAATGCAAACCGTAGTAGATATAAGTTAAAAAAAAACAAAACAAAATAAGAAACCGGATCTTACTATTATTTGGAACCTTAATTGTAATAAAATAAGAAACTAATGTAAGTTTTTCGAAATGATCTTTATATTCAACTTGTATTCGTTTACAAAGAGGTCATCAGTTATACAACCCTAATTTATGACTGAAAAATGAAATACAAAGATTCATATTTACATCATTCCTAATGCTAAGGCCTAATTCCCAATATACACAATCATGCCATATATACACAAACATGCCATATATACAATATATTCTCACACCTCCGCTCAAACGCAAGGTGTTTTAGCAGAAAACACTGAGTATTTACCAAGAAAAAACTGAAATCAAGTGGGTAGTGTGAGTCTTGGTAAAGAAGTCCGCAAGTTACAAAGCCGAGGAGATGAAAGGAAGTGAAATAGAGCCAGACTGTAGATGCTGTCGGACAAAGTGACAATCAATCTCAATGTGTTTCGTCCATTCATAGAAGATAGTATTGTGGCAATCTGAATAGTACTGTTGTTGTCACGATAGAGAGAGGTCGAAGATGATTGAGGTGCACCCAAATCAGAGAGAAGACAACGAAGCCAAATAAGCTCAGCAGTAGCATGAGCCATAACATAGTACTCAGCTTCAGCAATAGAGCGAGCAACGACAGTTTGTTTCTTGTTTTTCCAAGAGATCAAAGAATTGCCAAGAAACATAATAAAACCAGAGGTGGACTTGCGATCAGTAACATCGCCAGCCCAATCAGAATCAGCATAGGCCGCCAAGTCTAAAGAAGAAGTAGAGGACAACAGTAAGTCCTGAAAAATGGTACCCCGAAGATAGCGAAGAATGCGAACCAAAGAATCCCAATGGGTAGAGCGAGGAGTAGAAACGAATTGACTAACCTCATGAACAGCATAAGCAAGATCAGAGCGAGTGGCAGTCAAATAAGCTAAACAACCCACAAGCTTGCGATAGAAAGTGGGATCATCCAGAGGGACACCATCAATAGAGATAAACTTCACATTAAGCTCAACAGGTGTGTCAGAAACCTTAGTATCACTCAGACCGGCACGATGAATAACCTCATTAGCATACTTGGTCTGAGACTAAAAATAGCCCTTTAGAGAAGAGGCATCCCAAATACCAAGAAAATACCGCAATAGACCTAGGTCTTTCATTTCGAAGGTGCAGAAGAGATGTTACAGTTGAAAAGCCCAACCCACACTTCTCCTTAAAACCAAGGTATTAAAGAGAGGGAAACTAGAGCCTTATAACTAGCACAGATGGGGCAACTCCAAGCGATGTGGGACACATTCTAACACCTGGACCACAACACACACTAGTTGGACAAATAGCCCACCAGTCACAGGCCCAACCAAGCTCTGATACCAAGTTGAAAAACTCAGATCACACTCCTCCTTAAAACCAAGGTATTAAGGAGAAGGAAACCAGAGCCTTATAACTAGTACAGATGGGGCAACTCCAAGCGATGTGGGACACATTCCAACAATTGCTTGACCTCAGAGATAGCAAAAGAGTCAGAGTCAGAGCCAGTGATGATCATATCATCCACATAGAGTAAGAGAGCAACAAAACTAGCTGAGGTATGTCTCAGAAACAAAGCATAGTCGGGAGCAGAATGATGAAACCCAAGCTCGGTAATAGCAGTCTGAAAGCGATCATACCAAGCACGAGAAGATTGCTTTAAACCATATAAAACACGCCGAAGATGATAACCCTGCCCTGAGGAATGGAGAAGGCTAGAGGGAGGATGCATGTAGATCTCTTCAGTGAGATGATAGTTAAGAAAAGCATTCTTGACGTCCATTTGATAGGGAGACCAATGTCAAATAGCAGCAACAGAAAATCAAGGTACGGACAGTAGTCATCTTGGCAACATGGGCAAATGTCTCCTCATAATCAATACCATACTCCTACGAGAAACCCTTGGCAACCAAACGAGCTTTGCATCGCTCTAGAGAACCATCAGAATGAGTCTTGATTTTATAGACCCATTTGCAACCAACTAGATTCTTGCCAGCAGGCAAATGAACCAACTTCCAATTGTTGGTCTTCTTCAAGGCAAACAACTCATCCGCCATAACTTGAACCCAATTAGGATCCTGACAGGCCTCCATGTAAGACTGAGGTTCTAAAAAAGAATGAATAACAGACAAAAAAGTACGATATGAAGCAGAAAAACATGTATTAGACCAACCCAACCTGTTTGGAGGACGACGCTCACGAGGCGGATATCGGTGTGCAGCAGGATCAAAGTCGTCAGAAGTAGAAGGAGCAGCAACAAGAGTAGAGACAACTGGTGGTGGAGGGGCCTTGCGACGAGAATAGACTACCAACGGAGAGGAAGAAAAAGTCAAAGGAGAAGAAGGAGCCATAGGTGACGTAGACGAAGAAGTATAATAATAACTAACAAGTGGGCCAAACAGGAAATAAGATTTTCTTTTTTCTTTTTTTTTTTAAAAAACCAAATAAGAGTACTGAACCAAACACAGACACAGAGAAAGAAAGAACCAGAGTCAGTGATGAACCAGACGAAGCCGATGAGAGTTGTGATGAACCGAGATGAACAGAGAGAGTTGCGATGACTAGAGGTAGCCGACGAGTCACGATGAAGCCGACAAGAATCGAGAGAGACGCAGCAAATAAGGTGCAACAGGGAGTCGCGATTGAACCGAGACCGAGAGGCAGAGGGTTCTAGGTCGAGGTCAGAGATGAACCAGATGAAGCAAACCCACTACAGCTAGGGTTTCGATTATGAAAGCTAGGGTTTCAAACCAAGCTCTAATACCATGTAAGTTTATCAGTTATATAGTCCTAATATATGACTGAAAAAAGAGATACAAAGATACTTATTTACACCATTCCTAATGCTAAGGCCTAATTTCCAATATACACAATCATGCCATATATACACAAACATGCCATATATACAATATATTCTCATAACTAAATCTTCCAACATCCTAATTAAACTATAAATAAATAAACTATTAAAAACAGAAATAAAATTCCAACATCCTAATTAAACTATAAATAAATAAACTATTAAAAACAGAAATAAAATTTTAAAGCCTTCAAGAGTATCCATGAAAGTTTTACATAGTTTGTCACCTTTAATTGTGATGGAAGTGGATTGTCATTGTGTTTGTGTTTGTTTTTATTTTTCTTCCCTGGTTACAGTCAATTGCTGATGCATAAGAATTTTGAATGGCAAAATCTACAGGCACTTCCACTTGTGAGCACCTTTTGGGGTATACTTCTATTTGGAGAGTATCGGAAATCATCACGAAGAGCTTACATCTTGCTTGCAAGCATGTTGTTCATGTTTATTGTAGCTGTTGCTGTTCTGATGGCATCTGCAGGGAGTCGGGAGTGAATGAGCAGCTCTATGATCCCGGTCATGTTGTGTTATATAAAAAAGCATATACATATCAAATTGTAAAGTAATTCAAAACTCAGTAAAGAGCAAGCAAATGATGCATACCGCTGGGGGTTTGGGAACTATTAAGTGGACAGAAGAAGAAGAAGAAGCAATAAAATGGTTTTTTTTCTTCTTTCAAATCAGTAAGAAGGGATTGCAAAGGAAAATAGAGGTGAAGCTGGCTGATGACATTTTTCTCAGAATCAAGTGAACTTGTTCTATTTCTGGAAGTCTTATTTGATATCTTTTTCTGTTGCAACTATGTCTACAGATCATGCATTCTCCTACTTTCTCTTGTTTCCTCTTAATTAAACTGTGCCTAATGTATTGGCTGTTTGGTTGATGGGAAAGATGAAGGAAAAGTAAAGAAAATTGGGAAGGGAATTATGAATGGGAGATGCTTACTAGTTTTCTTTCATGTTGGAGTTAGCTATTGAACTTGCTAAAGATGAGAATTATTCTTTTTTTTGTGTCTTTGTAGCCTTGTGCTTAATTAGGTTGATTTGAAAATCATGGCAATAAACTAGTAAGTCATTTTTTTACCCCAAAAAACTATATAAGCCAATTTTTTATTTGGCATACACAGAAAACGTCAAAAAAAGAGAAAACTTAATTTAGTCAAAATTTTACAAAACCCAAAATGATATATATGTGTGAAACGGACTTATTTTAACCTTAACTAGTTGGCTTATGTTGCAGCAAAGAAGTCCTAAAAGTGTTTTAACTCTTTTGTCGATTCACATAAAAAATACAAATTTAAATTTATGGGTTAATTGGTAAAAAATCCACATTTATGGAGTCATATATATGTTATTTGGTCCAAGATTTAATCTCTTTTGTGATAAGGATATGCGTTTAAAAGTTACCGAAAAGTTATAACCGACAAAGGTGAACAGATATGTGACATTAGATATACAAGTGACACGTTTATGAATAAGTGGCATTTAAACAGATACACACATTTTTGAACATATAATTTATAAAAATGTAACATTCTTACGTATATGTATATTTTTGGACAGATAATGTCCTGGTGGCCAAAAAAGATTTAAGCTTGCGCTCGAGTGCCTTAAATTTACTTTAAAAAGAATAAAATAAAAATTTATTTAAAGAAAAAAATAAAAAAATAAAAAAAATTAAAAAGCGCTAGAAGGAGGGCTCGAACCTCCGACCTTGTGGTTAACAGCCACACGCTCTAGCCAACTGAGCTATTCCAGCTTGATGCGGTTATCTCTCCTTCCAAAACTATTTCAAATGTATATCACTGACACGCTCTTCTGCCTCCAAGTTGCTCCTGAAACAAGAGAGAGGGAGAGAGAGAGAACCAGAGAAAAAATGTGGAGAAGAGCTTTGAATCTGCTACCACACCGACACTTCTCTTCTGAAACTGAAATCCCAACCCTCTACTCCTTCCTCCAACCCTCAATCTTTGCCTTGAAGAAAGACCCACCTCCACAACCCTCTACAAACCCTCCAAAACCCACCAAAACCCTAACCCTAGAACACCAATCCACCTTAGAGACCACCCTCCAAACCTCCCTCAACAAGAACAACACTGATGAAGCATGGAAGTCCTTCAAGGCTCTCACCAACAGCTCTTCTTTCCCAAGTAAGCCTCTCACCAATTCTCTCATTACCCACTTGTCTTCACTCAATGATACCCACAATCTCAAGAGGGCTTTTGCTTCTGTGGTTTATTTGTTGGAGAAAAACCCGGATTTGTTAGAGTTTGAAACTGTTGAGACCCTTTTGAATTCGATGAAAATTGCCAACACTGCTGCCCCTGCTTTTGCATTGGTGAAGAGCATGTTCAAGAATCGGTATTTTTTGCCGTTTGGCATCTGGGGCAATGTTCTTGTAGAAATTAGTAGGAAAAATGGTAGTTTTGTCGCCTTTTTGGGGGTTTTTAATGAGAATTGTAGGGTTGTTTTGGATGAGAAGTTGGGTTTTATGAAACCCGACTTGGCTGCATGTAATGCTGCTTTGGAGGGTTGTTGTCGCGTTCTCGAATCTATCGGTGATGCTGAGAGTGTGGTGGAGACAATGTCGGTTTTGGGTGTTAGGCCTGATGAATCGAGTTTTGGATTTCTTGCTTATTTGTATGCATTGAAGGGGCTTGGAGAAAAGATAATTGAGTTAGAAGGTTTGATGCGTGGGTTTGGTTTTGTTAACAAGAGGATATTTCTTAGTAATTTGATTAGTGGGTATGTGAAGGCGGGTAGCTTAGTGTCTGTATCAGTGACTATTTTGAGTAATTTGAGAGAACATGGAGAGGAATCAAATTTTAGTGAAGAAACTTATTGTGAAGTAGTAAATGGATTTCTTCAAAATGGAAGTATCAAGGATTTAGCGAGTTTGATAATTGAAGCTCAAAAGTTGGAGGGTCCATCACTCATAGCTGAACAATCAGTTGGTTATGGCATTATCAGTGCTTGTGTTTATCTGGGCTTATTAGATAAGGCACACAACATTCTCGATGAAATGAATGCTCGGGGATGTTCTCTTGGGCTTGGGGTCTATGTGCCAATCTTGAAAGCTTATTGCAAAGAGCACAGGACAGCTGAAGGAACTCAATTGGTTACAGAGATCAGTGATTCAGGGTTCCAATTGGATGTTGGTTTATATGATGCTCTAATAGAAGCATCAATGTCAAGCCAAGATTTTCAATCAGCGTTCTCTCTGTTCAGAGACATGAGGGAATCAAGAATACCTGACTTGAAGGGAAGTTATTTGACTATAATGACAAGTTTAACTGAGAATCACCGACCCGAGCTTATGGCAGCCTTTTTAGATGAGGTTGTTGAGGATCCTCGAGTTGTAGTAGGTACCCATGACTGGAATTCGATTATTCATGCCTTCTGTAAAGCAGGGCGGTTAGAAGATGCAAGGAGGACTTTCAGAAGGATGATCTTCCTTCAGTTTGAACCAAATGAGCAGACATACCTGTCCCTTATTAATGGGTATGCAACCACAGAGAAATACTTCAGTGTTTTGATGCTGTGGAATGAGGTTAAGAGAAGGGTTTCTATCGATGGAGACAAGAGGTTCAAACTAGACCACAACTTGGTTGATGCTTTCCTTTATGCTCTGGTTAAGGGAGGTTTCTTTGATGCTGTGATGCAAGTTGTGGAGAAATCTCAAGAGATGAAGATCTTTGTCGATAAGTGGAGGTACAAGCAAGCTTTCATGGAGAACCATAAGAAACTCAAAGTGGCAAAGTTGAGAAAGAGAAACACGAGGAAAATGGAAGCACTGATTGCTTTCAAGAATTGGGCCGGTCTGAGTGCATGAATGAACATCACATCTGTCTGTTGCTTATTTTGTATACTCGTGGTTTTTCCACAGTGAAGAACCAATTGGTATATGAGTGGCAAGAAAGAGGAATTTGGGAGAACAAACGGCATATTGTTTTTAGATAATCATGCCTGCCCAAATGCATCTGCTTCACAAACAGCCGAGTCTTCCATATGGACCAGAGCTTAATGGCTACAGAGCTGCATTACAAATGGAACTTGAAAAAGATATCGGGAAAAGGGAACTGCTCAGAGATTTCCGAGCGCTGGGCTGATCAAGATGCGAGTACTTCATGAGCTTCCAATTCTAACTTTTGTATTAGTGGTTCTGCTCCCAAAAAGGGGGCTCAGTATTTTTTTTCTCCCTCTAGTTATCTGATAGGGACACAAGGGATAGAGGTCTAGGAAAGTGAATCACCTATGGCTTTGAAGATTCTGGGATAAATGTTAATGCATAACATTCACAATATATGCTTTTTCATTTGGTTTTTTGCTTGCAAGAATCACTCGGCATGTAGTTGGGCTAGGCGTTTTTGTCAACTTATGAAATTTACAGCAAAAGATGGGAAATACTGACTTCGGCAGTTCTGTATGAGAAATGAAAAGGAAAACTCCTCTGATGGCATTGTTTATCATTGCAGCCATTACCAGTTTTTGGATGTGTGAATGTATGGATTAGAAGTAATTTTAGAAGAGGTTTTTTTTTTTTTTTTTAACTAGCAGAATATTAGAAGCTCATGACAAGGTAGTCTGTACAGAATGGAGTAGTTTTATGTGGGAAACCACCACTGACACCTCTTTTTCCCACTCTTTGAGGGTACATTGTGTCTTGTGTTTGAGAATGGTGATATTGTTGCAAGACATCAAAATTCAAGTATTGACCTTTTTGATAACCCGACATCTGGCCTAAGGCCCGACTAATCCAAGTGAGGTGATTCTTGCTGATGTGGTCAACCGTCAACTGCAAGAGTCGAGCTCAACACAAAGAAACGAGATGTGCATCTAATTTCTTTTGGGAAGTTGCAAATATTTATTTTCTGCTTTGTTCTTATGTGTTTATTATTTATGCCATAAATTAATCAATTGATTTCATGCAAAAAATAAAAGTAAAAATTATTCTCTAGGGTCCTTAAAACTCATGTTGGCCCTTTAATTTCTAACTTGTTTCTTCCTTCTTGGGTCCTTTGGTTTGGGAGGTGGGTTGGTTTTTTGGATTTTTTTGACTATTTTAGCCTGGGCTAAAACGTCTGGTTTGGGAAGGACTTTTTGGTTTTTTGACTTTTTTTTTTTTGTGAGAGAAGAGTGTAATGATTTTGGGTTGGATGTGATGTTTTGTTTTTTGTAACTAAAATAACTTATTCTGTCTTTTGTAGTTAAAATAGCCAAAAAAGCGTAGAGACCAACTTGCCAAACGGAGGCTCAGGGTGTGTTTGTTTGAACGGATTAGATAAGGAAGAATTGGAATTCACCGGACTGTTAATTTTGGAATACATTGTCCTTGGACTATTTGATTGGACTGAATTTATATCATATGCTTGTTCAATCATGGAATTAGATATCGGGATTGGACTATTCTATTGAATCCTATGTTTGTTTGGAATATTATAGAGAATGATAAATACTCAAATGACTATTTTACCCTCTTCAATTATTTACTAAGTAATAACAATATTAAACATATCTTTAATATTTTAATTCTTTTTAACTAGATTAAATAAAAAATTATTTTATTTTATTTTTACACAATTAAATAAATTTATTTTTTTAAAATTAAATAAATAAAATATCAATAAAAATATATGTAATTTTTTAATTAAAATCTTAAAAAAATTTATTTTAAAAATGCCAAACTAATAGGACCTACTTTATTTTTTCAAACCCCAGGGGTAAACGTAATTTTCCCTGAAAATATTATATGACCAGCATTTCTAATTTATTTGAGAAATGTTATAGGTTCATAATTCGCTCACGACGACATAACAATGGACTTACGCCTTACATGGTCGATTTTTTTTTGTTTTTTGTTTTTTTTGATCGGCAAAATAAATCTTTATTAATGAAAAAAGCAATATACATGCAAAAATACATCAACAAAGTAGGGAAGTGCACTGAACAACATAGCTAACCTCAACAATCCCAACTTGGTCGAATTTGTTACAAATTAAAAGTTAAGATACAATTTGTCATGTCATTGTGAATAATAATGATCATATTTATGTTAATTTTTCGAGCCACCCACCACTGTTGTCAAAACAAACAAACACCCAGTTAGTGCTTGTTAGCTAGAAGCCATGATATGGGTAGGCTCTACTTTTTAGGAATGTTGACAATAAATCACCTCCACCGAAAAGAACGTTCCCTCCTTTTTCAAATAACAGTTTGCTCATGTGAAAGGTAAATTCCTGTATTAATTTCCTTCATATCTCGTGTCTATCAATCTCTACCTCTTAAAAAACCTCCTTCAATGTCATCTTCCCCAAATCCATGGCTGCTTATACACATTTTGCTCTTTCTCCCCCTAACTCATCCCCTCTCTGCTGCCCATGTCAACCCAATAAACGGTACGTGCCACGATAAATGTGGCACTCTCCCTGTGAGGTTTCCCTTTGGTACAGGGTCCGGATGCGGACACCCTGACTTCGCTAGATACATAAGATGTAGCTCAGGGACACTTCAATTCTCCACCGGCACCGGCGTTTACACTGTTTCCTCAATTGACTACCCAACCAACACTTTAATCGTCACAGACCCCCTAATGTCGAATTGTTCTTCAATGCAGAATTCTGGAAGCTTTAACTTAGATCGTGCCAGCCCATTCAGCATTGTGGCCGAAGATATCTTTGTTTTGCTTGGTTGCTCCACTACCTCTCCAGTCTTTGATCAAAACGAAGAGTTATGTGATACAGGGTCTGGTTTGAATTTCTGCAGAGGTTTGTATTCTTGCAAAGGGGTCGCTGGAATTGGACTCGCACCCAATGCACCAATTTCTACTTGTTGTGTGTACGAGCCACAGATTGTGCTTGGGTCGGGTTTTATGTTGGATCTTCCTAAGCTTCAGTGTGCATCGTATGCATCGATTTATGGGTATGGAGGAGATGAAGGGGACCCGATGAAATGGGAGTTTGGGATTTCTTTGCAATACAATGGCTCGCATGAGAATGAAGCGTGCAAGAATTGTGAAGACAGTGGAGGATTGTGTGGTTTTGCTGGATTGGCTGAGTCCTTCGCTTGCATTTGCCGCAATGGGGTTAACACCACCAACAATTGCTATGGGCGAGGTTAGTTCTTTCTTTATTTCTTTTTTCTTTTTCTTTTTCTTTTTTTTTTTAAATTTTCTGTAGTTTTTTTGATTCATATGTTTGATTTTTGTGTTTTGATGTGATTAGGATATGCTTGGAGTGGGACGTGTAGACACAAAATTCAAACCAAGATGAGTGTTGGAGGTACACAAAAGGCAATGCCTTTAATTTTTATTTTTTGACTTTATGTCCCTCACCTTTCAACAAATCCTTTCGCTAAAGACACTTTCTATTAGTGTCATGCTCTTCACTACTTTTTTACTTTTTTCCTAAATACAGTGCTGTATTCTTTCATTTAACAGTTTTCAAATGAAATTCTAAAAAATAAAATAAAGTTCTGAAAGTACATTTTGAATAAAGAACAATATGGCAACAAAATGCTTGCTGTTGGGATATTCAGAGAAGCATGTGCAATTACAACAAAACTTTTTGGAGTTGACAATACTATCCCAAAAGTAATCGGAAAATGAAATGTGTGGTCCAGATTTATACCAAATTTGAATCTACACCATACATTCTATTTTCTAGACACCTTAGTACTTGTTCTGGGTTTATAGTATTTTTTTTTTTTTTTTTTTTGGAGCATGTATGATTCAAGTAAGAGAAATCTCTATGCCTTGAGATGTTTGATTGATCTTAATACGAGAAATTTTGAGAAAAAAAATTAAATCATATATGTTCCTCCCCGGTGATAATATATTTCACAGATCCTGTTTTATTGTTTTTTTGATTTCATGAGAGAGTTGAGAAAGGAGTTACTTGTGCAATCAAACGTGCAAACTAATTGTAGTTTCTTGCTGGAATCTTTCTAGGGTTTTTTCTCGCTTGGTTGTGGATCATGTTGTTCATGTGAAGCATAAATGAACTATCAAAGTTTTGGTTGAACAAGATGAATATTGAAGAGCTTCGAAGTTGCAGCAAAGCTTGTCAGACATACACTTGGTCACAGTAGTGACATTCTCATTTCTGAGTTTCTCATATGTTGAAAATTTTTAATCTCCAATTTCTCGGTTTCTAATTGAGGGTTATTGTGAATCTATGACATTTTATGAACCATTTTGTTAGACCATTGAGATAGATTGTTGTATTTTAAATTTTAATTTTTTTTTTTTAATGAAGCTTTGTCAACCTTCAGTGGTGGTTAGTAGAAGATTTTAATGAACCATTTTGTCAACTCACCAAGATGTTTTTAATATCAAAATTATCACCCAGGCATCTTTCTAGTGAAAAATTTTGTATGAAAATTCTGAAAAATTAACATTTTTTCTTCAGAATAAAACACGTTCTTAAGATTTCGAGTAAAATAGAAATGGCAGATGTGAAGTGAACAATTTCAATTGAATTTTTTGATTTTGAGAGCCTCAGTTTAGAATTATGATTTTTAAAAATATTGTCACCATTCACAATATAAGAATTACTTAGGTAATTGTTTAGAATTAGTTTTTTGACTAAATAAAAATAGATTTGCAAGAGTCAAATGCTACAACTTATGTATAAATATATTTGATACTAATAAGATATTTGCTTGTTCATAGTAGATAACAAATTCTATAAATATTTAAATGATTCGGCTTGATTTTAAATTGGATTAATAATTATAAAATCACGAACGGAACTATTTATTAAGAAAATCAAATTAATTATTGAAATTTGTTTCAAATTGGACTGGATTTCAATTATTTTCTCAGAGAAATTACAAATCAGTTGAAAAACTAAAAAATAATTGTAAAATCATAAAACAAAAAATTATCACTTTAATTATTAATTTACTACGAATTTATAATTATGTTTTAGTCCTTCCACTTAATTGCAATTTCCTCTTTTTTCTCAGTCCTAGCCACATGTAATGCCCAGAAGCAGATAATAAAGGAAATTGCGGCAGCGCTTGTATTGGGTCCCCAGCCCAAATATCTGGTGGTGGTGGGTGGATCTGAAATGTCGTCGCCACTCTCAAACATTGTACCAAACGAGTCCTTTTCAAACTAACCGGTTTTCACTGTGCCTTCTCTTATACCTTTCCAATCAATTTCGACTACGGCTCTGAATGTTGAACACTTTTCAGAGCAGATCTTTTCTTTCCATTCATGGGTTTTGCAGTGCTCGAGTTTTCCTCAATTGGGTTCTGTTTGATTTTTCATTCTCTTCCTCTTACTATGATTTGATTGTACAGAGCACATGAAAGTTTGTTTCTTGTTCTTTAATATGCTCTTTTCATCTACATATTATTAGTTTCAATCCTTCATATTTGACCTGTTATTCTTTTTGTTGTTTTTCTTTCTTTCTTTCTTTTATTTATTTATTAATAACTTGATTTTTGCGTCTGGGTTTTGAGTTCAAGCCCTCGTCATTTGTTCTGAATTTATAATTGTTTTTACTTCAAGATTTTGATCAATTGTAACTGAAGGAAAATTCAAGTTTTGTTCTGGAATTTTTGAGAGAGAGAGAATGGATTTATGGGTTGTTGCAGCAGCAGCTGGAGCTGGGTATTTAGCCAAGTATTGGCAAAACTTGTCTGGGGAAAATGGGTTATCAGATGGGAATTCAATTCGTAGGCAATCCAAATCCCAATATTTGCTTCAGCAGATGCAGGACCAAAATACTCCATTCTGCGGATCGGTGCGAAAAGGATTGGGAGGAGATGTTTCTTTAGGGGGAGAACATGATGAATCAGTTTCAGATTGGACGTTTCATGAATTGGACCGACATGGTGGTAGTTTGGCAGCTGGAAATGCATCTACAAGTGACAGTGATGCTAAAGTTTTGGCAAATGTAGGGAATTATGAGAATTACAATGTGCTTATGACGAAGAATTTTCCACCAGGATTCCAAGGAAAAGAAATTTTTCAGGGCAATGCGATTGGAATTGGTGAAAAGAATGAGGGTTTTGACAATTTTGGTGATGCTTTACTGGGATTTGAGACCTATAGATTAGCAAAGAGCAAGCCTCTTAAAAGTAGAAGGTCTCGCGAGTTTTCTGTTAAACCGTTGAACCCTTTAGAAAGTTACCTCACTGCTCAGCTGTATAGAGAGCAGGCTCAAAAGGATGAGTTTGAGTATAGTTCAGTTCCATCACCACTTACACCAACAGTGAGGCCATTGTTGGTAACTGATGGGAACCGCATAATTAGCGGAGATTTTAGTGATTCATTTGGTTATAAGCTTAAGAACAAAGGTCGGATTTCCTTAGAAGAGGATAGTAATACATTGTTGGGAACCAATTCATCTCAAGTAATTGGATTGGTGGAGCTCCCGAGGAAACCGGAACAAAGGCGTGGAAAGAGGCAGTTGAGCAGTTCCAACACAGGGTTACCTGGTGGACCATTTCATTCACAAGGTTCTATTTTCTTTACATGCTTTGACGAACTTGATTTTGCACTTTTAACATTCCATGCCTTTTAAGTTGTATTATATTATTTGAAGAATTTTGTTAATGTTTGCCCTTAGGCACATGTTAAGAAACTTAAAAAGATTGTACATTTTGCATAACAATGTGTGCAATAAAGGATATACACAATCTTTTTAAGTTTTCTTAACCTGTGGCCTAAGGTCACACATTAACAAGATCCTTGTTTGAATGCTTCCCTGGAGGCTGACTTAGATTTTTCTCTCTTTTTTGGATGTACGATTAATCTAGAAATTAACCTGCAAGGTGTTGACTATGCCTCTTATTTTAGCCATAACAGATTTCGGTGTTGTTTGGGAAGAGAATAAAATAGCCAAGAAGTCACAAAAAAAGTCAACAAGCCAAAATGCCATATAAAAAAATCAAAGATTCCTTCCCCTCTCTCTACGTTTTGCATGTTTTTTCATAAAATCCAAAAAGCCATTCCCCAACACTTTCTATACTTTCACCTTATATTTTAGTCAAAAAGCCACTTCCCAAACCAATCCTTCACTTATAATTTGCGTTGCTTGATAGAAGATGAATACGGTAGTGAACTTGTTGGCATAAGAAGGCTGGCATCTGACAAAGAATTTAACTGTTTCACATAATTTCCTGATTTTTTTTTAATAGTTTTTATGCATAATTATTTTATCAAAAGAAATTAGTATTGAGATAGGAGGCATTTTTTTGAGATGTCATATGACACAAAAGTTCATCAAGGCAAGCCAGATGCTTTTATATGAAGAGTTTCCAAGAAGGAGTCTTCTCAGTTCGCTCCTTCTACTGGGAGATGTGTGGGGGACTTCGTTGTTTGGAGAGGAATTTGGAAGAACAAGACTCATCGTCAGGTTGTGTTCTTTGTCTAGGTAGCACCCATAAGGCTCAGCTTACAATTTCACAACCTTAGGAAGAGATGAAAGGTGTTGATTGATTGTTGTTGTATGTGCAAGAAATTAGGGGAAAGCATCAACTTCTTCTCCTACATTGTTACATGGCTAGATATTTATGAATCCTTATTTATTTTGTCTTTGGTATTGCTTAGGTGATGCCTTTATTTTATTTTATTTTTGTGAAAGGGCTTCTTGGGGCTTATGCTGCACCAGAGTTTGGCCTTGATTGGTTTGTGTTTGAGATATTATTTTAAAAATAATTTTCTGGAGAGAGTTTAGAAAATTTGTTTGGTTGTATATTTTGAAAATGGTTTTGGAATTTGGGATGATTTGATATTTTTTTTATACTTGAATAAATGGGTGTGAGAGAAAAAGTGATTGAGAAGGAGAGGGGAGAGAAAAAAAAAATGATTGATTGATGTATAGTAGCGAGGAAAGTGATTTTGAAATTTTTAAAAAAAAAATTTAAATCAAATATGTTTCTAGAATTTTTTCTCGAAGAATATGTTTTGAGAGACAAACCAAACATGCCCTTTGTCATTGGCCTTTTTAGTTTAACGCCACTTGAGGAGATTTTAGCCATTTTCTTTTTGACTAATAAAATAGAATAAAGCAATAGACTTGATTAAATGGTAATGCTGATACTTTTGTTACAAGAAACTAAATTTGATTATGTAACAATTTGAGTTTGTAGTGACTGAAAGTATTGAGAATGGATAGGATAGCTGTAATTTTGGGGAATAGCATAGTTGCAATTTCAGGTGATAGTTGCAGGCATAAAGAGTAAGGATTTAACTCATTTTTGCATTAAGAGATTATTGTTGAACTTGCATTCATGTGCAGTTAAAAACACTGCAAGGGAAGAGATCCCAGCAATATACTAATTGTTTAAGCCAGAGAAGTCTCCTTCTCCTTGATATTTCATTCATATTTATAAGACATTACGGCTGTATCCGTCACGTAATGCTCTTGTATTCACTAGACAGCTTCAACTTTAAGATTTGTCAAAAATATTAATTACAATTCAAGTTCCAAAATGTTCTGTTTACATAGTATGTAACATAACCTTCAGTAAACCGTATAGACCAGTTGGTTAATCAGTCTCTGTCCTGGTTTGGTATCTGACATCTTGTTTTACTAATTGCTTCACAGTGTCTTTGCCTTTTCAATACCATACATCCTTTTAAGACTGTATTTTCATGCGGCTTTCAGGTTCACCCAATGGAATGCTTCTCTTCTTCATTGGGATCACTATTGGCATGATGTCTGCGGTTGTAGCAAATAAAAGAGAAGTGGACAACCTAAATGAACTGTTGAAGCAGACTGAGAATTTGGTTCGAGATTTGCATGAGGAGATTGAGATGAAAGATATGCTAACTGTGAAGGAGCTTGCTAGTGAAGATATTCAATTCCAATTCCAGGAAACAATTGATTGCTCCCGCAATCGGGAACCAATTTCATCTTCCTCTAAAGAGGAATTCACAACACACAAAAGCAAAGAGCCAGATGATCGGAAAGTAGAGAACCATGAGTTAATGAGTGAAATTGAGGCGGAGCTTGAAGCTGAACTGGAGAGGTTAGAACTAAACATGAAAGCATCTACTTCGGAGAGGATATCAGATTTTGTTGAGGTAAGCATATGTGTATATATTAAAATTAAAATGCACTTTTTTTACTTTGTTACTGGCAGGTTATGCTCATTTCTCCAGGATTTTATTTTGGAAACCATAGTTTAGGCCCTTTTGTTTAGTACAACTAGGATGCTCGCAGGAATTATTTTTTTTTAAAATTCCCCTTATATACTCTTTTGCTGCCTCTGCTGTACAATATTCCTTCAGAAGTGATTAATTCTGGAGCAAATTACACCAACCTACCCTGAGGTTTGGGAAAAATACTTTGAGCCCCACACGTTTGGTATAATTACATTATGTTCCCTTAAGGTTTTAATTCACTTAACGCTTGTCCACTTTTTGTCAATTATTCGGTAGTCAAACTTTTCTGACATGAACTGGTCTTTGAATTGTCATAAATGCACATAACCACTGATTAACCATCTATTGGGTGCTCCCACAATTCATCATTCAATGCTGCTGATTTTAAGTTGCTTGGTTTTGGTTTTCAAAAAATTTTACTTTTTTGTTTTTCGTATTTTTTGCTTTCACTGAATTTTTTTAATATTTTAAGTAATTTTTTTTAATTTTTAGACACACCTAACATAAATACACTTAAAAAGTATAATATTTGTGAAAAAAATCTTTAAAAAATTCATTAAATACCAAAAATAAAAAAAATAAAAAATGAAAATTTAGTATATTTTTCGAATTTTTATGTATTTATTAATTTTTTAAAATATTTGTTCACAAATATTTTACTATTTATATATATCTAAGTAAGGTACATCTAAAAAAGTAAAAAATTGCTTAAAATTTTAAAAATATTCACTAAAAACAAAAAAACACAAAAACCAAAAAATTCAATTTCTAGAAAACTAAAATCACAAGCACACAGCTTCTCGAGTGTGCGGTAGCTAAAATGCTTTTATATCAATATCTCACAAACTATGTACCATATGAATATGAATCAGCTTCTTCCATTATTTGCAGTATCTTTCTTCCCTCTGCCAAGTTTAGGAGCAAATGATTATTATGGATATTCCCCAAAGACAGAAATTAGTGCATTGTTCTTTTGAATATTTGATAGCTTTTTTTTTTCAAGTGGATAATGCTTTAGTGTGACTGCCCTGTCAAACACGTTGAATAGTTGCCTTTGAACTACACAACATTTTTTTTTTTAATCCTTGTTACGATCAATGCCCTTCCTCAGCTCACTCCCCCTAACTTGAGCCGTATTACTCATATCTGAGGTAGTCATTACTCTTCCTTGCACTTGATCAAATTGACTAAAACATAAAAAAAGTTCACTAAAGACAAACAAACACAGAAAACAAAGAACTCAAAAACAGTTTTTGAGTTTGAAAACCAAACAAGGTTGCTTCTTGAATGTCTACATTGTCATCTTCGTCATTGATTTTCAAAGATGAATGCTTTCTTCACTTGGATGACTGAAGCAAAGATCAATTTCTGTTGTGTATGATGCGATCTATCCAACTTTCTTTCACAGAAATTTATAGTTCTGAATTATTTTGTTGCAGCTCGATCCGGACTTTGAAGCAGACGTGGTTCAAGGAGACTTGAAAGTATATGCGATGCAACCACACGGTGGCCAACCTGAATCAGACTCCGATTCAAGTGGGACCTCCACCGATCACCCTCATACTGCAAACTATGCAGTTTCACCTCGGGAGCTGAGCTTGTGCCTTCACGAGCTAATTGAATCAAGGCTCGAAGCACGCATCAAGGAGCTCGAGGCAGCACTTCAAAACAGCCAAAAGAGAGTGAATTCTCTTGAATGGCAACACATAGCTTCTCAGAGAGGTTTGGCCTATGGCGAATTAGGATCTTCATCTACTCCAGAAAGTCCGACCCTTGTAAATGAAGTCAATGAGATGTACAACGAGGCTTATGGGGAGATAATCAGGGTGACAGATACTGATCAAGATACCCCAGAAGTGGTATGTAACGATAACCGTGTTGAGAGAGATACGTCTTGGTCTGATAGAAGACTTTTTGAGGATCAAAGTAGAGAAAGATGGTCAAGAAGGTTGGTTCATGGGAAAACAGGGGCGTGGGATGAGCGGATTGAAAGAAGTCGTGGATTGTTTGAGGTTGTTGAGAGTGAAGATGAAGATGATGATGAGTTTTTGATCAGACAAATTGTGGAGAAAACCAGGCAAGGTTCTTCTTTTTAGTTTTGAATGCTCATCTGATGATGTACTCTATGGATGAATGTGACAAAAGAAATATATGAATGAAGAAGATAAAAAATATAGAAAGTAAAAAAGAAAGAATATCTTGTACAGAGATTCATTAGAAAATGCAATGATTGGTAGATAGAAAGATGGATATGTTTGTAAGTATTCGGAATTTACTATGCAAAATGGGCCTAAAGAAAGTAATTTCATTTTTGTCCCCTAAATTTTGTTTTTTCTATTTCGTTTTTAAACTATTAATTTCATCTATTTAATCCTTAAAATTTCTAATTTTAAATAATGTGATCTAATTAGAGACGGTTGATTATTCAAATCAATAACCCTCAAATCTTAATTTAATGGACAAAATTCATTTTAAAATTTGAACAACAAAAATCATAAATTAAACTTTTATTCACTATTTTGATTTTAAATAAAGGGTGAAGAAGAATATGTATTTAATTGTAGGCTGTAAGTAGCCTAAAATAATGTGAATGAGAAAATGGATAAAATAATGTTAATGAAAAAGTGAATATTTAGTTGTATAATTTAAATTGTTCAAATTATACAGTTATTTTTTAGGGGATGCACTAATAAATCCCAAATTAATAACTTATACACTGTTTAGTCCTAAAAGTTTTCTTATAGATTGAAAGGTCCAATTACAATGTTTCAAACATCATATTAATGTTTCGAACATTAGATTTCGAACATCAGATTAATGTTTCGAACATTAGCTTTCGAACATCAGATTAATGTTTCGAACATTAGATTGATGTGCAAATGGGACTAAATGGAGCATAAAAAAATTTTTAGGACTAAATGGTTCAACTTTTCAAAAACTAAGACTTATAGGTAAATTTTTCTTATTTTTTTTTACCTATTAGTTTAGGTTTTACCATTATTGATTTCGACAGACCATCTTCAATTGAATCATTATTGAAGTCACAAAATTTCGAGACCAAATAGTTTAAGAATGAAATAGAAAAAAATAAAAATAAAATAATAGTTTAAAGGATAAATATAAAATAAACCAAAATTAAAATATATATAAAAAAAATAGAATAAAATAAAAAAAAAAAAAACTGAAAATTATTTGAGATGCATCAAAACCAATACATTGGCAATAAAAAGCAAAAATGTCAATGTTGAAGGAGCCTTGTATTTCATCCCAGAATGCTGGGAAAAAATTACAGAACATCTATACAATTTACAAAGGAAAAACTTTCTTGTGCCTAAAATAAATTATGAAACAAACATATAACATGCCACAAAATCCTCCAGATATAACTAGAACCCAGTTGAATGCATTTGGGTAATCGAATATTGTGGCCGCAAAGTTCATCCCAAAGATCCCGGTCACAACAGCGAATATCGTTGCCACAAAGGTTGCTGCTGTCAAAAGCAACTCGAATTGTATCAGCTGGTTCTGAACATTGCCCTGTTTACGTACATTGAAATTATTAAAACGATGTCTCTTTTTTCAAATGTTGTGTATAATAGCTCGGAAAAATATATGGAAAAGCTGCTAATGTAACTGAAGTTTTTATGACAGTTACCAGTTTGATATTGATCAAATCCTCCGTATCATCAATGTATTCTTTAAGCTGCATCACAAAAAGAGGAGAAAAAGAAAAACCTTATCAATGCATTCTTACACTGACCAACCTCTTTTCCAACTAAGCTTTTAAACCTTTTGTTTATAAACTTCTAATATTCATAGACCACAAACATGCTCAATTATTTAATTCTTGAGAATATATTAACATTTAATATAGGTTCATTTATTTTATATTATATTTCTAAAATGTTTCTGTAATATTTTCAAAATGTTGCCGTTTCCGTTTCCGTTTCCGTTTTCGTTTCCGTTTCCAAACTAACCGAAACAACATGCCACAATGAAATTTTGATCATTGTAGAAAGAAAAGGCAACATTAATGTTTTCTAAAAAGTTCAAGATGTCTTACCGATAACAACTTGTGGAGAGTGTTGTCGATGAAAACAAAATAAGCTTCAAGCAACATTTCAAGTTGATCAATGTTTTCCCCACCGTTAGATGAAACAGATAAGCTTCCATGTTTGCTCGAACTCATGCTGCTGAAAGCCCTTTGCAACTTCTGGGCTCCAATATTAGACCCCACTGGTGAAACAGGTGCAGATTTCGACACCACTCTGACCCCACTAAACACATTAGTTTGAAAATTCAAATCACTGACGGAGTAAGCCTCTCTTCTCTGTTTCTTCTCTGTTAGATACATCTCAGCCATGTCACCATCATCGTCCATAAGATGTTCAATTTCATCACAGACCTGAAAATTCAATCCAAAAGCTAATATGCAATGGAAAAGAGTGTAACCCAAATACAACTGGAATAACTTGATCTGGTTACTTTCACCTCAATAGAAAAGAGAGCCTACAATTTATACCATGAATTTTTCCCAAAAAGGGGATTTGTGGTACAGATTCAGTTCTCGTATGGTGGGTCCTACACTGAGAATGAATCTGAGCCACACATTCGATTTTTCTGGGTAAAATTATGATAAAAATTCTGGGTATGTGACATTGCTGTTTTTACCTTCTGAACTCGCTGAGTCAAGGCAAGAAGGTGGCCTTTGAATCTACGGACACGTTCCAAATTAAGAGTGCTGATAGATGATGCTAGTTCATCAAGCACTGGATATATCTCCACTTCCAATTCTTTTACCTGTTAAATTCATAACCTTCTCAATGTGATGCTTTAGGGTAACAAGGTGTCAAATTTCATGGGATAGTAACTCATCAATGATTTCTAATACAAAATATACTTCATACTAATGAATGGTCACTAAGGTGTGTATGTTTCAAACCAATAATTATGCTCATTAGAATTAAATTTGATTTAACAGCTTCAACTCTGTAGATGGAAAACAAAAGAAAATCAAGATTTCAGCAAATCGGGGGACTAGTTTGGGTTTAGACAAATTGCATACCATATAGAGCTCAGGCATAATCATTACAACCCCAAGTATAAGCTTTTGTAATCAGGACAGGCTTGACCCAGACAAAACACAGGTTGTGTTTGGCAATCTCTAAAAAGCAGCTTTTTGGCTAAAAAAGTCAAAAGAAAAAAACAACTTCTCCACCAAAAAAATTAAAAAAACTTATCTTGAGAATGTCAACATAATTGTTAAAGATGATTTTTCCCTCCATACTTTGAGAAATTCCACTATGTCCCTTTGATTATGTAAACAAGGACTTCACAAAAAAGCAAAGTTTGAAAAGACTCACAAAACTTTCTCCATGACAAAAAGCAATTTTTTAGCAATTACCAAATGCATTTTTTTGGATTATTAAAAAGCAAAAAAGTTACTAAAAAAGCAATTGCCAAGCCCTAGCTAATTGGGTGGAACTACACCCAACTGTAATGAATCTAAACCGAACGACAGCCACTTAGTCATCTTCTACAACCCTACAAAATCAGATATCCTTCAGACATATTACCATTGAAGGCATTCCGAACCCTACACAACGGGTTCCTTTCATGGGCCTACAAAGGTTTCCCCATATTGGAACACAGATTGACCTCTAATCCTCTCCTGAATATGACAAGTTTACAAATATAGAAAAGGAGACAATAATGCATACCTGAGCATCAAGAGACATGCATGTTAGTTCCAAAACAAGCTCCAGTGCCCTGAATTCGAAAGGCAGATCATCTGAGCCAAATCCGCACACAGGTGAGCAACTCATGCAGCATTTACATTTGGAAATTGAGAATATTATGTGACACATCAACTAGGTATTATAATAGCATTCATTAAAATTTGTTTATGCTAAAAGACGCCTTCAACCAAATTTGTATAACACAAAAATGGACATGGTCACATGACCATTCCATCGCATTCCAGTGAACCAAATAGAGCATAGTATTTACCAGATTGATCTTTATTTGTGTGCAGGCGTTTGCACAACTCCGACTTGTACTGAACAACACTTGCATCCAAAGAACTCATCAATAATACCTCATCAGCTGTGATTATACATCTAATCTGCTCCAGACTAACCACAATAGCATTCTCTCGACCTAATATTGTGGAAGGATAAATGAACAATGGATCCAAGAGGCGGAGATCTCTGGCAGGTAAAGAACAATGCCTCATTACAGCCGCCTTGTCAAGCTCCAACATCTTTGAATTCCCGCTCTGATCAATCTTTATCCAGGAACGACTTCCATGTGTGTGACCTCTCTTTTTCAAGCCAGGGAATCCAAATCCTTGAATGTGATTAGTTTCGTATCCATCTAAATTCCCCCTTGTAGAGTTCTGAGAAATGGCAAATCCAGGAAGACCAGAATGAAGAGATGGAGATCCTGATTCTTCCATTAGACGTTAGTTTTTTTTTTCCCTTTGAAGAGTAGCTCCAAAACTTGTGTGGTGAAATGATGACTGCATCAGTATAAAGTAAATGGGATTGAAATTCAACCTAGTGACAACTGCTACCTCACTAGAACAATCTGAGAATCATTTACTAACTCACTGCTTTTGAGTTCATGTTACCCTTGGACTTTCTACATTTCTGAAGTGAAACCTAAAAAAGGGACAGTATAAATTAGGAACTCCAATCAAAGAATGAATTAACCAATGTTGATAATACTGAATTTCAGATCTCAGAATCAACTCAAAGGGCTTAAGAGTAAACCACAGCGCTACAAAACAATCGGTTTAAAATAAAATGCAATTGATCTCGCTTGACAAATGCATCTACAGAATACTTAAGGCCACATTTGGTTGGATTGGATTTCAACTTGACATTTCATTTCATTTGAAATATAAGGATATTGCTTTAACGCGGAACCCTTTTCTTTTTTCAGATTTTAAGTATACAGGAAAACAATTGAAAATCATAATCCACTGTATGTAAATTGAAAGAATTATATGTCCATGTCCATGCTTCTTAGTTGCCCAAGTTGAAATGTCTGTCTGCATAGTTTGTAACATAACCTTCAGTAAACCATATAGACTAGTTGGTAGTGAATCAGTCTTTGTCCCTGTTCAGTATCTGAAATCAGTTTTACTAATTGCTTCAGGTGTCTATGCCTTTCAACACCATACATCTTTTAACGATCTTGCTATGGAACCCTTTTTTGACTCTTTTTTTTTTATTATTTTTTTATTTTAAAGATCTGAACTCTACAGGAAAACAATTGAAAATCATAATCCACTGTATGTAAATTGAAAGAATCATATATGTATTAGGCAAACCCAACAGTGTTTTTGATGTATATTCTCTGAACTAGTAGAGCGTAATAAAACAGACATATTAAATTTCTGATCACCCAGATGAATGAATTACAAGTTGAGAAAGTATCAATTTTCAAAACCCAGAAACCTAAATTCGAATTGAAAAGGCCCCAATGAAACATCAATTCGATGTACCATGATTCCATGAATTTGAATAGAAACAGAGCATAACAAGAAAAACCCATCAATATTTTCAACAATTATGTGCTAATAACAAAAACCCAATAGTGATAAATACATATATATATGGGAACCCAGATCGTGTAAAGAAAAGAGAACACACAAACCTTTTTAAAAAAACGAAGTTGAAATTATGAGAGCTGAGAAGAGGGTGTATGGTCCATGACTGAAACTCGAGATTTGCATTCGTTTCTTCACTGTGACAATCAGGGAAGCCGTGAACTTCAGGGACCAACAGTGTACCATCACGTCATAGACATATCATTGAGGGGAAAATTACTAGTTTGGCCTAAAATTTATTTTTGTTGTTGTATTTTTAAATTATATAATTTGATTTATAATGTTAGAGACACAATTTAGATATTTAAATTTATTCACAATGATATAGTAAGATACTAGCAACAACCCGTGCTATGCACGGGAATGTATAATTTAAATAATTTATTATAGTCATTTTTGTATAATAAAATAAAAAATTCTTATAAATTTAAAATATAACAGGGAATTGTAACTAAGAAATATTTTGAATATGATAACTATCTCATACCTAAGTTCATACATTCATTTTTTTCATAAATTTGTCATTTAAAACATTGATTATAAAATTATCTTAGTCTAAGTAGGTCATGTAGCAACTTGAACTATATTTCTATCGGACATTATTATAGCTTTAAAAACAAATAATATAAAAATGGGTACTATTACAAATAATGTAAAAATGAACACTACTATAAATAATGTAAAAATGTTCAAAGCCCTCTTTAAAGAAAACAACAAAAAATGCCCCTAGTACATATACACATAGGTACACAAAAAGAATAAAATTCATCAAACCCTAGAATCCTACAATTGCTTAACTAATTGTGGCGTTATTGATGGTTGAATGCAACTCGAATCTTAAACGCAGAGCTTGAACAAAACTTTATACCCAACATGCAAACACTAGAAAACTCTATGGTGTGTTAGAATATATAGCTAAAATATGAAGCATTTGAAAAATAAGATAGAAATGAAATTGAAGATCATTATCAGATAGGAATGAATTTGAAGATAATTATTAGATTTAAGATTAAAATATATTTAAAAAAGGGATCATATGAACAATATAATAAAAATAAAGTTGGAGATAATGATAGGATTGGGGATTAAAAAAAAATTAAAAAATAAAGAAATAAGAAATAAAGATAAATGAAGATACAAGAGAAGATTAAGCAAAATAAAAAATAAAATAAAAAGAGATAAGGAGTCTTAGATAATAAAAGATTTTAAAAGTCAAAAGTTTAAAATAAATTAAGAGAGAAAAAAATGTTTTTTTATTGGAGAAAAATAAGGATGAAGAAAAATTTAAAACATTATTTTGAGAGAGTGACATGTAGGAAAAAGAATATCAACTGTTTGAGAATTGAGTATTGAGACTTTGAAAATTTTAGAGTAGATACTATATTTCCTTACATATAGTATAGATATAGATATATAGGTAAAAAGATAGATATCAAATCTAATTTGAAAAAAGATAAAAATAAAATAAACATCCTAAAAAAAGAAAAAAGAGAGAAATGTGGGAATTCGGTTGCTGATAATTAAAATTTTAAAAAAATAAAATATTTATGAGAGATTACGTATGAATAAAAGATAATTTAATTTTTGTTAAATCAAAATAAAGGCATATATATTTTCTTGAATAGTAGCAAAATAAATTTACACTTTTAATAAAGTTGTAATATAATAAAATATATTTAATTTTTAAATTGCATGCTTGATGATGATTTTTTTTTTATATTTTAAATACATTGATAGAAAATTTTGAAATTGATGGTAGTCAATTGTTATCATTATAGCTTACAAAAAGAATTTAATAGTGGTCAATCATTAACCAATAATTTAGGACAAAATCATGGACAGCCAATAAAAAATTAACATTGATCAACTTAAATGTTGTAAAAATAAAAATAAAAAAATTGAAAAATTCAGAATAAAGTATTGAAATTCCTCAAATCATGTAGTTAGATATTTTGGTTAATTTTAAAATTTAAATGTTAAATCCAGTAATATTATGCTATGTGTAATAATTCAAAATTTAGATAATACACCGAGCCACTTTTTTTTGTTTCAAATATTGTAAAAAAAAAAAAAATCAAATAGGGCTGTGATTGAGACCCCCTCAATCACCAACTCCCACCACCCCCACACACACGTGGCGGGTGGTGATTGGAGGAGAAGGGAAAAAAAAAGAAAAAGAAAAATTGGCCAATCAGAAAAGAGAGGGGGTCAAAGGGGGTCTTAATCATTTTTCAATTTTAAATTAAACATGTTTAGATAAAATTTAAAGATTTTAAAATTTTAAAATTAAATATTGTTAGATGTACCAAAAAAAATTTAAAATTTAAAATGTTAAAATTGAGAAATTGTGTTTAAGGTTTTGAAGCTGTTGTATGTGATTGTATTGTTAAGTGGGTGGATATTGGTCGTAAATGACCCGAAGAACTCTCATTTGAGAGAGCTTGAAGGAGCAAAGGCGAGATTAACTTTATGCAGAGCTAATCTTCTTGAATTCGAAAGTTTGCACGGAGCCATTAATAAGTGTGATGGTGTGATAGACATGAGATAAAATAAATTAAATTCAATTCAAGATTTGATGAGTTTCGAATCTGATTAAATTGAAAAACAAACACAAATTAAAAATTTTAAAGTAAGCAAGCTCAAATCATGCAAAATGTAATAATAAAGAAGATGAAAAAATGTGTAGATGAACTGAAAAATAATGAAAAAAATATATATATATACACACAAAAGTAATAAACACTGGAAAAGTACATATAAAGTAAGAAATAATATTATGAGCATAAAAATGAAGAAAATGAAAAAATTTGTAGATGAACTGAAAAATATTGAAAAAAATATATATATACACTCAAAGTAACAAACACTGAAAAAATACATATAAAGTAAGAAATAATATTACACTGACCTTGTAATGATTTTTGCAAATAATCAAACTTGAAAAATATAACAATGGAGAAGATGAGTTATTATGAGCAAATAAAAGATGATTGGAATAAACTTAATAGAGAAACGTGTGTGTGGAAGTTGTAGAAGTTCTTAGTTTCTTTTTTTTTATTTTTTTTTTTTATAAATTGTGATTGAGAATGAGATATATATTATTGTCGGTAATGGATATGGATGAATATTTTATTATTTTGAGATAAATATTATTATTGGTGATGGATATGGATGAATATTTTATTATTTTTTAATTTTATATTTTATATAGGGAGAAGGAGTGAGAAGACTTGAAGAGTGGGAAAGGAGGTGAAGGGAAGTGTCACATAATATTTTTTTCTTTAAAATTATGAGAATTTAGGATTCAAGTTTTGGAATATTTTGACTTGACAACTACATTTGGTTATATATATACTAGCGGTAACCCGTGCGATGCACGGAAAAATAAACTATATACATTTTGTGTGATATATAAATTATTCTAATATTAAATTATATTTTAATAGCAGCAAGCCATGATATTAAGCCATCTTGGTTGATGTTAACAATAATTAATCTACAAAATTTCACAATAAAAATTTGATATACATAAAAAATTGTTAATTATAAAGATTGTTAGGATAATAGTATTACAATCACTTGCTAACATAAATAATTTGTATCAGACTATAGTGTCATGCAAACAAAAAAAAACAAAAAACCAAAAAAAAAACAAAAACAAAAACAAAGCATTAAAAGAAATAAATTGTATAAGTTATCATAAATTTACTTATTTTAAATCAATGATTTACATTATTAGTGTGGGACCAAATTATGAATAAATCTCAATTTTAATTATAATTTGTAAGTAATCATTCTCCATAACTTGAATAATACTTGCATAGTTTTACAACATTTTAAAAAAAAATCAAGATAAGAATTTCGTAGGATTATAAAAATTATATAAGAAAATAGTTTAATCCATTTTATTTATATAAAAAAAAATGATGACAAATTATTTGAATTGTATTTGAAGAAATATAACAAATGATAGCTTTAATCATTATATACCAAAAAAAAAAAAAAATACATGATCAACTTAACAAAATGGTCGAATATAACTAAAGTCATGGACATTGAATTAAATCATATGGGATCTAAATTGATAATATAATCTAACAAATCATTATTTTTCAAATAATTTTTAAAATTTTATCTTTATCTAAATGTCATGAAATAAATTTCCATAAATTATTTATGATTTTTTTATATGTTTATTTATAATGAAATTAATTAAAGTACAAAATGAAGGGCAAAAAACATGAGTAATTTTTTTTTTAAATCAATTTTTTAACCTTTATTTTTATCAGTAGGCCATGAAATTAATTTTTATAAATTATTTATCAATTCTTATATGTTTATTTATCTATAAGTCATGAAATTATTATTTTTCAAATAATTTTTAAAATTTTTATCTTTATCTAAATGTCATGAAATAAATTTCCATAAATTATTTATGATTTTTTTATATGTTTATTTATAATGAAATTAATTAAAGTACAAAATGAAGGGCAAAAAACATGAGTAATTTTTTTTTAAATCAATTTTTTAACCTTTATTTTTATCAGTAGGCCATGAAATTAATTTTTATAAATTATTTATCAATTTTTATATGCTTATTTATGGGAAGAAATTTTAAATTATCTATAAGTTATGAAATTAAGTATTTAATTTTTATCTTTATCTGTATACCATGAAATTAATTTTCATAAATTATTTATCAGTTTTTATATGTTTATCTATATGGAGGAATTTTGAAATTCAAATCTTTATCCATAAGCCATGAAATTAATTTTCATTTTAATTAATCAAACAAATAGAAAATGGAGGAAAATAGAAAACACGAAAGACAATAAAAAAAGGGTTGCCACGTAGGAAAGAGATAATTTTAAAATTATGAGAATTTAGGAATGAATATTTACAAATTTTGACAAAACCACTACATTTGATTATATATATAGTATAGATAGTATAGATAGATGTAAGCCTTATACAATTGATTATATAACAAATCAAAAGTTGACATATATCCTAGCACATTATTGTGGATAAAATTACAATGATATAGCAAGAGATGTAGGCCTTATACAATTGATTATATGATAAATCAAAAGTTGACATATATTCTATTACATTATTGTGGATCAAATTATGAGATATTTTTTTTATGGGTTTTAAATATTTTTCATTTTGAATGTTTTAATTTGATCTTTTGTTTAAGT